ATGGCCATAAACATGGCAAATGAGATGTTGGTGGATGTCAGAAAAAATTTCTAAACACTATCCAGAACCTAGAAATTTCTGTGCATCAGAGAAGGGAAGGGAGTGCCCAATATGTATCTTTAGGAAAAAAAACTTCCTAGGTACAGACTCCTGCCCCTTGCCCAACGCTGGGAACCACAGCTCCTGTTCTAGAATTTTAATGATTAAGAAAATAGAAAATGTAAATATTCACTATAAGGTGACTTAGAATTTCCTGGGTTCTATTTATAGAGGGCTCTGTAAATTTAAGTATCATATTTGGAAAGCTATTCCTCTGTTTGGCAAGGATCTGGGGGATGATGACATAGGTTTAGATTCTAAGCTATTTTAATACTATTCTGATTGTTTTAGCAGCTTCTCAAACACAAATTCTCTAGGCAACAAGAACATAATTATGGGATTAAAATCCTATCTTGGCATCCAAAACATTTATGAGAAAAACAAGAGTTACCATTGTCTTTATGTTGAACATCTTGCAATTCTGGATGTTTCTCAATCTACCTTCACCTACGGATACCCATCAGTAACTAGTCCCAGTAGAGCATATCAGAATCAAGGACCCACAAAGGGCTACCCTAGATTTTGTAAAAGTAATATGCTTTCCAAAGAATATGGAATTTCTCAAACAGGAAATAATAAAGACTTCCTGGTTGACATTAATTTTCAGGATTTTGCTAGTCATGTGCTGAGATTATCAACTGTCTTTTTAGTACCAATAAAGACAAAGTTTGTTCAAACAAAGTGAACCTAAAAATTTAACTGTACAGATAACAAATATCAAAAAAATACACTTGCTTTATTTATCAAATAACTTAAAAAACTTAACTGGCAAAAGTGTTCCCATTTTCCACTTACCTTGTTATTTCTTCACATTCTCAACAGTCATTCTAAAATTCTGTGGAGTCATAAAGTATATTATGATTTTACCAGAAATATAAATCTCCAAGGTTCAATACTTTCTTAAAAATTTATTAAGTTTTTTTTGCAAAAAAATCCAAAGTGTCTAGTGTTTATATGTAGTATATCACATCCGAATAGCAATCAGTAGTTTAAAAACATTTGCTATATGCTTTCAAAAAAAAAAAAAAAAAGAGTAAGTTCATACAATTGTTTTTGTAAGATAATGACAAATTACAGTACAGTTATAACTGAACACTTTATTATCCGAATCATACTTCTGATGATTCAGAATGGTTACTGCAATGGTTACTGTTTTTCTGGGCCTTTTTCTTTTTACTTACCACTCTAGTAATCCAAGAGAGATTAGAGACACAAGAAGCCCCTATCAATAAGGCATCTTTATATTTTCAAAGCATAATATTAAAAACTAGCAGTTCCTACTTTTAGGGACTTCAGAAATGGATATTTGTTATGATCCTATCATTCTTCACAATCCAGCATTAGAACTATTTAACAACTAGGAAAAAAGAAAAATAAAGAGACTGAGGCATACATCATTTTGCAAATTATGGTAGTGTTACATTTTGTGTTACTAGTCATTAATATTTTTTTGAGTAGACCATGTGCACCTGTTTGTCCTTCCCTACTCCCAAAGGGTGAATGAATATACTCTTCCATATAACGAACAGGTATTTGGAGATACGTTTTGAGATCTTTTTTAAGGCTTTAAACCAAACTATTTCAACAGCTGGTAGACTAAAACATGAATATTTCCCACAGGAGAAAATCATTATTTTGGGGATGGAGCTACCACATTCAAACTCATTTGGCTTGGAAGGGAGGCCTTTGCACCAAATCCAATCACTGGAGAATAGGATTAGAGAGTTTTATCATTAACCTCGATTGATTCAAGACTGATCAATGGACTGGAAATAAAGTATAAAACAATTTTGATTTTAAAAATGCTTTCAAACAGAGTGAAACGGGACACCACCAGGCTTGAAAAGTGTTTCCGTCGACATTTCTAAAGGTTTGTAACAGGCCCGCAGTTACAGTTATGAAAGAAACCGCCAACTAAATTGCAGCAGGTTAAACTGACACAGTTACCAACGTCCCTTGAGTTGTTTTTCTGTTGCGAGTTGGCACCGCACCCTCCACCCCGCCCTCCAGGGACTTAGAAAGGTAGTAAAAGCTTTTTACTGAACCAGGCAAGGGATACCCACAAATGAAGAAGAGTTATAGGAGGTCAATAATCCCGTCTCTATTTTTCTCCGTCTCCTCAGGTGCCCCGCCCGTTCGGATCAACAGCCACCCCCCACCCCCCCACCCCGAGGGAGCCTGTGTCGCAGGTCGCCTAAGCGT